ACTGCTTTTTAAGGGTTAAATAGGATAATGTTTTCCTTTTCCATGGAAATCTAAGGCTATCAAACGGAGCCTAAAGGTGGAAAATGGAAAATCTTTTCCTACTTCCATGGAAAAGATAACATATCAAACAGGGTGTAAGGATTACATCAAAAGTTTAAGGAGAAGCTCTTCAGGTGTTGCACAAAACTTTAGACAAAAATCTCATAATATCTCATTATAAGCTTGAATTCGAAGTTTATATTGGGAGATTTTGATGAAAAACTATGAAGATTGATGATCATAGGATCATTATGTAAGTGAATATCTCAAGGATCCTTCTAACAGAAACAAATCATTTCATATTTCTCTCTTTTGACCAACTTCATGCGTCGGAAATCAATCTTTGTAATCTCATAGCACGGTTTTCTATCTATAAACTTTTCTTCCTAACTCAAGGGTGCTTCAGCTTTGAGGATGGCTGGATTATGATGTTCGGTTTTCAGGATTGACTGCGCCATGTAAGTGTAGACTTGTTGGGAAATTTTTCACTGGTCCGTATATGTATGGTACTCTCGGCCTTGCATTTTTGGCAGAGGCTATGGATGGTATGATAATGTGGGAGAGTGAGCTGATAATAGAATCGAGTATTAGTTGATATTGGCGAACCCAAAAGGATTAAGCTGGATTTACCATTTTGCCATTGTCAGTTTTCAAAATGGCAGTGGGACGAGCTCTGCTTCTACCCATGAATCCATCAAATCACAACTGACAAGGTTTTTATGGAGTTGAAATTTCCATGATGTGTAATTGGTTAAGGTAAAGATCGATCAGGGGCTTCAGCGTGAACCATAAGGGAGATAAGACACTTGTTATTCTCAAAGGATTTATGGATCGCGGGGTGAAGGGTGAAAGGATGACGAAGAGAAAGGAATGAAATTTCTGGCTCCTTGGAATCGGGCATTGCAACACTCAAATGACATTTTCTGGTGACTTATGAGTAACTGGCTTGTTTTTATTCACATAAGACTATTCAATGTACTGCCAAGACTATTAATAGATCAAGCTAACAAAGAAAACAAACCGAACAATATTTATTTAAATATCGGGTACTTATTTTACAAGTGACTAAGACATACCGCAGTAGTAAACTGTCACGTTGCAGCATTTATACATTACTTGATCTCTTTTTCCTCACCAGCAAAATTCTGGAGGAATCTGCAGTCATGTGGCTCCTGCATTCAAAAAGATGTATTTAATATCAACCTAAGATAGAAAAACAGCGTTAACATCTCTTTCCTGTACTTTTTTTTTCTTAATAGACTAGGGCTCTTTCACATCATTGCATCCTCAAAGCAGCTAACTTGGTTTGAAGAAGCTTGTTGAAACTACTCGGGATGATTATCCTTAATCTTTTGGTTATTTTATTAACAAGAACCAGATAATTAAAAGCCACCGTATCTTGTGGTTTCATTAAAGAATTACTTTAATATGTATAGATTCTTCATCCTCTAACCATAATACTATAACCTTCTCACAGAATCAGAAACTGGATCAATAATCTCTCTCTCTCTCTCTCTCTCTCTATATATATATACAACTCGGAACTATAAGAGAGAAGTAAACTGTTGCACTCCTGGGAGAGAAGCAACTAACATCCATTCCGGGATTCAAGTTATGCAACTAAGGCTCGCAACATAAAATAAAAATCTTAGTGAATAGGCCGGTCACTTACCTTATAAAAGAAGGATTTAATTTGAGGTTTTACTAGCATAAAAGAAGCAAAGAAAATAGGTCCTTTTAGTTGCAGCGTCTTACCGTGTTTGCTTGAAGTCTCTTGCATGTCAATCTCGTCATTAATTCCATGCTTAAGGTGATAAGAGTCTTGGCCCTGATAATAATTGTCCTTTGAAATTGAAGATAAGGTTTCGGGGACAGAAAAAGAATTTCTACTGCAAGTTGTCTGTTTCTTTGTAGAAGATTCTGCTGTAGAGCACAAGTCGTCGTCTGGTTTAGAATCTCCCTTGTTGCAACTATGCAAGTCATTTTTCAGCGGCTTCTCATCTTCTGTGGGCTTTGGTCTCTTTTTATTCGGTAGACTATTCTTGAAATGTTGCATTGATGGCACCTTTTGATCATGGGACGAGCTTGTGGGACAAGGAATCTTTTGCTTCAACACTACCTTCGGAATGGCCTCATTTTCATGAGTGTCCGAGTTATCACCGACAACTTCATCTGTTCCACTGGCATTTGCTGCCTTTTGTTGCATGACCATTATGGCTTCTGTTAGTCGATCTCGGGCCAAATCTATATCAATTATAGGCTTTGGATAGTTAAACCCTAGCTCCACTCCTGCTGCTTTAAGCACGGTTAGAGGTGCATCCCATGGGTGATGAATCCATTCAGCTGGCATTCTTGCTAGCTCAGGCAACCACTGCCTTACATATTCACCATCCGAGTCAAAATTGAATCCCTGAACCTGGAAAACAAATTGACCAAAAGGATCAACGAATTTATCTTCGGTTTCAGACCTAATAAGTTAATCTTGGTGGTCGAAATGAAGTGAACACCATTTTTTCCTTTTCCCTCTATGTGAATATGTATAGGAAAATTAAATAACAAGCTAAAAAAACCACAAGAAACAAAATGTACGTTTTAGAACCAAACATGTTGAGGTAGACCACCAATATATTGAAGGCAGCTTGAAGTAGGATTCATGTGCATGCCCTTGGTTCCAACTGAGAAGCAACTAGCAGACGTGCTAAAGGCTACAGAAAGGACCATTTGAAACTCTAACAAGCACGGCTAAAGCATTAGATATTTTCGAACCAGCATAAGCGGAAGCATTAAAATATTTAGGTCTTATGGCTTCATCTTCTCCACGACTATCCTAGATCTGTTGGAACATTTTAGGTTTCATCTCCTCGATCCTCTCCCTCATCTGGGAAGTTTTAGGTTACACGAGTAATTCGCAAGTCAACATTATTTTCTTTTTTAACTGTCCAACTTCAGTATTTTCACTATTCATGCGTTTTCAAACAGTTCTTTGATACTCAAATCCTATTTCATCTCTAGTACTCTTCAAGGATTTTTTAATTTTTTGCCTCAACTCCATATTTACTACCATTGTCTATACAAATGCATTTCGATTCTGGCACTTCCTCTTTTAGCATCAACGTGAAGCAGATTGAATACTTGCAAGGCAAGATCTTTATTTTTTAAAGCTTCGGTTCACATTCTATGAAAAAATCAACCAAATAACATGCACCACCTAATGTGCTAATTGATACGGGACTACAAGCATCAAAATGAACCAAATCTAGAACATCTAATTTTCCATGTCAAGGAGTGCTTTCATTCCAAAAATGAAAAGTTCCTCATGTAAATAGCATGGAATAAGGCTTGATCTCGTTCCTATTTCATTTCAAAAATGGAAAGTTCGACACAATTGTTTTTTTTTTTTTTTTTGAAATTGGATGTAGTTACCAATTCATGATCTTGCATGTACACAATCAAAACTTCATTCTCGATTCTACGAGGTTTTTATGAAGGCCTTTCATTAAAGTTAGAGACTTTCACCTATATTTCCTGTTTGTGCATGTGTTTCAATTTCCACAGTTGACAGTTCTCAACTTAAAAGTTAGAGGAACAAGTTATTCACAAGCTCCGTGCCACTGACAATTCGTTATTTCTGCATATAACAAATAAAGAAAATGTAAAATTATACCATAAAACCTTGCCACAGTTAAGCATTTTCTTCTTGCACATAAATTTTAGGAAGTTCTTAAAGTTTTAGGCAACAAAGTTGGACATGAAATGATAATAGAAGAAAAAATAACTCGTGAAATTGTATTCCTTTACAAAAAATAGGGAAACTGTATTATAACCTGGGGGTTATCCATACGCTCAAGCGTATGCCCATCAGGCAAGCTTCCTGATATATATTGCCAACCAAGGATATCACTTTCCAAGTCTGCATCCAGAAGTGTGTCCCAGAAATACTTCATTCCCCATTGCCATGGAAGAATAAGAAACTTTACAAAGAAACTCGAAACAATTACTCTAATCTTATTATGAATCCACCCAGTGGCCCAAAGCTCTCTCATTCCAGCATCAACCAAAGGATAACCAGTTCGGCCCTGTCGCCAAGCCTTGAAATGAGCCATGTTAGCATGCCAAGGGAAAAATTTCAGGTTGCTCAGCAATGATCTTTCATGAGTAAAAGGGAAGTTAAAACAGATGTAGCGGGAATACTCCCTAAGCCCAATAGCCCTAAGGAAAAGTGTCGCACTTTCTTCTCCAACAGAGTTCTGTTCATTTTTCCAAAGTATTTGCTTCATACGCACAGATTGGAAAACTTTTCGAACACTGAGTTCCCCAAAATGAAGATACGGGGACAAGAGAGATGTACAGTTCCCACCGACCTTGAGTCTGTCCTTTGAGTAGTCTAGCAGATGATGGTCTACAAAATCTGTTAGAGCCTTATCAGCATTGCTCCAACCAGGTGTCCATCCTCTTCCCAATAAGGCATTACTAGACTTCTCTGATTCATCCTCAAGACCTAATTCCTCAATCGAACACTTTTCAGTACTTCCTGTCAACACAACAGACAAACAACTATTCAGCTTTCTCTTTTAGATTTTCTCCACATTTTCTTTTTCTGTTTCTTATTTCATTTTCATTCTTCCTTTCAGCTAGTAGACTATTCTGCATTGACTCACAAGGTCAATGTCTATATAACTGCTTGAAATGGTAAAAAAAAGAATGAGACTACACAAGCAATGAACAGATAATTTGAATGATATACTGCAATTCCAAGTAAAACCATAGACCGAAACCAAGAACTGGATTTCAATGAAGACCGTAGGAAGAATTTTGATAAATATACAGCATACCTTCAGCTCGCACCAAATGCCATGGAGGAAGATGTGAAACAGGTTCTCTTTGCATGAATAAACACTTTTGCCAATATGCATCAAACCTAGTAAAAGCATGTCCATTGTCATCATATAATTCCCAAGGCTCGTTCAACAAGTCTCCATTATAGCTTTGCACATCAATGCCAAGCTCAACCAACTTTTGTTTAATATTGTGATCACGAACAAGTGAAACAGGATCTGGAAATGGAGAGAAAAACAATTCAAAAAATTATAACTGTGAAAAAACTGAATGCAAATAGATGAAAAAAAAATATATGTTGGAGCTATGAGGATTTTAAATGAACAAGATTAGCATATTGCAGAACAAGAAAGTCTATATATTCAGCATCACAGTGTATTGTTGAACTTTCTATTTTAAAACTGGTTTAAAGATGCATCGAAAAGATTAGTTTAATAGTTAAATATAGCTAAAAACATTCCCATATTCCTATAGTACAAAATCCCAGAGAAGGTCATAGATCTGGGAACTAAAATAAATTCTCATCCTGAAAGAAAGGAACATTAGAACTCAATATAGAATGTATTACAGCCAAGGAAGAACCATTAAAATGAATGCATATTTTTCTAGCAAAAACTGCAATTTCCACCATGTGATTTTCAATTTCCGTCAATTATCCTTATCTTCCCGTCTGAAATTCCTTTTACTACATGGCTTCAGAACAACAAAATCAACTTAAAAGAGCCCATCTGTTTAGTCCAGCTGATTCAATTTATATAATTAATCTACTAGATTAGAACCAAACTTTTTTTATGATACTTGCACAACAACTACAAAATAAGCTTTGATTCCAATCTAAATTTAAAGTCAGCTGCATCATGAATCATTTTTTTACCACTATGTTCAATCCATCGCTAATCTACTGAAAAAACTTGATCCTTAACAGATACACCAGCCAATAACCGCACATAAGGTATAATTAGCTGAAAAGAACAAGAACAAAAACAACTTAAACTCACTCATTTTTTTGATCCAACTGATTCAGTTTATCCAATTCACCTACTAGAATAGCGCCAAACTTATTCCCAATAAATTTAGACTTCGCCACTTGAATCCTTTTCTCCCAATCTGTTCAGTTCATTCCTATATCTACTGACTCAATCTTTACTACTTGCACATAAATATAGCTAAAAAAAGAAAGAACAAAAGCTTACCATAAAGATGGTTATATACTAATTTTGTTGCCCCAACAGCAGTGATGCAATCCAAAAGAGCAGAAAGAGTGCTTTCTGCTTCAATCAATACCATATCAGCCCCAAGAGATTGCAAAGACTGCTTCAAATATATGAGAGACTGCTTCAGCCACCACCGGGAAACTCGACCGGGGTAATATTGACCTTCTTCTTTTGGGCACCAAATGAATACTGGTAATACACTCCCATCCCTTGCTGAAGCAGCTAAAGCAGGATTATCCTCTATTCTCAAATCCCTCCTAAACCACACTATAGTCTTGCAATTACTTCCCATTTCCAATAAATCAATTTCTTCGCCTATTAATTCACATCATCTCATTAACCCAAAATTTGGGATTTCCTCGTAATCTTATTTGCTCCAATTAACCTAATTGAAAAACAGTAATTTAAGATACGAAATCACCGGTGGCTAAGAATCACTTCTACTTCAAACTCATCAAGAGAACTGCCCATAAGCCGAAAAGGGAAAATTCAAGTAAAATTGTTACGACAAATTAAGATGAAGAATGAAAATAAGCGGAGGCAAGATTGACGCAGCCACAGAGAGAGAGAGAGAGAGAGAGAGAGAGGAAATTATTGATTAGACTTTCATGTGACAGTGGCAAAATTTCAATGGAAAAAAAAATGTTATCTAGAAAAGAAGACAAGACAACTAGAAAAGGGATAAACATAAAAATCTCCATTTTTTTAAAGTTAAAAGTGACATATTTCATTAACAGAAATTTTTTTACTAATCAAATTTCATTCAGGTCTAATAATCGAGCAAGATTATAGAACCTAAGGACATCTTTGAACCCTATTTTTTGTGTAGAACAGATTTTGGAACAGTAGATTGATGAAAAATGTGTAGTTAAAAAATAATGAAAATTTTTGAATTTGTGTGTAATATTATTTTATTAAAAAATGCGTAATTGAAAGGGAAAAAATCATATTTAAGGTGTTTTCTTTACCTCAATTCAAAAATAAGGTAAATAGTTTAAAAATTCAAAAATCAGGTATTTATTTAATTAATTAAAAATATTTATTAAATAAAGATAAAAAAGTCACATTTTGTGATTAATGGTCACATATTCATAATTTTAAGTTACAGATTTAT